GGTTGTGATAGTGGTTTTGTTTTAATAATCCTGTTAGTAATAGACCAAACGTTTTCTTTGTCTTGCTTATTACAAAATTGTCGGAAGTGTGTTGTAGATGCATTCTGGATTGCTTCAGCGTATTCCTTTTTTAGTTGTGATTTTTCTGTTATTAGTTCAGTGAGTAGTAGTTTCTTGCGAACGCCTTTACTTAGTTTTCTATGGTTAATTATGACTTTTTGTTTCAGATCATCCAGTGTGGCACTCCACCAGGGCGGACGTCGTGGCGGGCCTGTGGATCGGGGTAAGTAGCTATTGCATGCTTTTTGTATATTGCTTGTAGTTTGAATGATGTAGTGCTCTAGTTGTATTTCATCCATATTCAGTATGTTCGGTGCTTCTAAGGGATTGAAATATTTATCAAGTTCATAATGAAATTCGGTAATTCTAGTTTTCCATATATTAGGGTTGATATTATATTTCCATGTAGACGTTTTGCATGACCTAGTTAGTTTTGTTCGACCTAATTTTATTTCAAAAGTAATTGCATTGTGATCCGACTCGGTTATTATTTCCGGGTTAACTTTCCAATTATCTATTGTAGTATTGTAGCTATCAGAAATAAGGGTGATGTCTATGATTGAGCTTCGAGTGGTGTTATTTATGGTATTGAAGTATGTGGGTTCATTACCAGAGTTACATATATTAAGATTATAGTCTAAAATCATTTGTGACACTTCTTCTCCTCGGCTGCTATTTCGTTCTGATCCCCATGTTTTGTGCCAAGCGTTAAAATCTCCTGTAATAATGTGTGTGGAACTAGGAAAGTCTGAAAGGAATGATTTGAGTTTAGATAATGTTTTATTAGGGTCGAGCTTGGGTTCAATATAGACTGATATTAAGAACATTTTTTTGCCAGTAGAATCTCTAAGTTGAACGATGGATATGTTTGGGTCGGAGTATGGGTTCATGCTAATCGCGCTAAATTTATTGTTCTTAATGACTATTGCTGATTTAACCTTGTTATTATTTTTTGGTGTTTGAAATATAGTGTAATCCTGAATGCTTTTAATGATTGTTCCATTCCCTGTAAATGGTTCTGTAATGAAAATTATATCTAATGTGTTATCTTTATTATGAGAAAGGAGTTCTTGATGAGCATTTCTGCCGCGTCCTAGGTTAATTTGTAAACAGTTCAGTTGGTTAGTGTTGTTGTTGTTTAATGTACTGTGTGATGTTATGTTATTAGCCATAGTTAATTTTATTTCGTATGTTACTGATCATAGCTTGTTTTCTGGGACAGTTAAAAGACGTAGCTGAGTGACTGGTTGGTAGATTGAGTTTGTATTTATTGTTGTGAGCGTGACAGTTTATGCAGCAGTTTTTATCGTTGTTGTTTTTATTGGGGCAATCATTATATGTGTGTTGTGTGGATGAGCAGTGTGAGCAAGCCAGTTTGCCATTGGTGCAGTGCTTACGAGTGTGCCCATATTGCAGGCAACCGTAGCACTGCATCAGTGGGACATAGTCTTCGACAATTAGTCTTTGATGATCCAGATTAATTCTTTCTGTTTTTGTAAATACTTTCCATAGTGCTGGAGTGGTCATTAAAACGGCGTTGTACAGGTGTTTGTTTCTATTGTTCCTCTTGAATTTGAAAACTAAATCTGCAGTGTTATCAGTGACTTCTGATATGAGTGAGTTTTGTTTAATTATTATGGAGCTTAATTCTTCAGTTGTTACTTGATTGGCGATGCCTTTTATTATTATCATAGGCTGCAGGAGTCTGGCTTCTTCTGCTCTGATAAGTTTATTGGTTGACCGGTTGATTTTATCCATTGTAGTTTTCCTTTGCTCTTCGGAGTCAAACTCTACCCTTAGTTTGTTATTCGAGACAAATTTAACCTGAGATGGAGTAAAGTTGGTGTCTGTAAATGAAATAGATTGCCTCCAGAGTTGTAACGTTTCGGTGGGACTTTTGACTTGTTTGTTGGCGGTTACTATTATTGAGGGTCTAGTTTTGCGTGGGGGTGTAGGTGGTTGTGTGACGATGTTTGGGGTTTTGACTATTGAAGCGTATAGTCGGGACTGTGTTGGCAAGGAGATATAAGCTTGAAGCTGTTCTTTGAGTGTATTTTTGATTGTAGATTGAATGGCATTTATTGTGTTTTTGCTTAATTTTGGATCCGTGTTAATTGTCTGAGCTTCTGGATTCTCTTTGATGCTTATAGCTACTGATTCAGCAATTCTTTTAATACTTTCTGAGTGTTTTATGACTTCAAGTTTTGAAGGTCTAGTAACGCTTCTGGATTCATTCAGTTTTTCAGGTATAGCTGTGGCGTGGGCAATTATTTTGTTCAGTCCGTCGAGCGCTGGGTTAGAGTGATCTGAAACGTCTATTGGTGGTGTAAGCGGAACGTCAAAAAACTCATCGTCGTTATCTGAAATGGGATCCGTGACTGTTGCTGCAGTAGTGTTGCCTGTCATTTGTGTTTGAGTATGGGCTTTAGGAGAAGGGATAGTAGTATGTGTGTTTAAAGGTTGAGGGCTTAGCTTATCAGCTTGGTGTTTTACCTGTGTGATTATTGTCAATATTAGTTCTTTATTACTAGTATTTAAACTGCTTTGTGTTTTCAGTAGACTGTTAATTTTGTTCATTTGAAAGTGTATATATGTTTTAAAATCATCTATAGAGTTATTCAGGTCTAAATATTGAGGTAGTTCGTCTTCTTCTTCATTTCTATTGGTAGCTGTTGTTTCTTGATATTCATTAATTTTCTTTGTTATAGGTTTATTGTGGGTTGTATTATCTACTATAGGTTTAGGGTTATTAATTTTGTTTCCTGAAGGGGCAGTAGTCTTGCGCAAAATTCTACCTTTGCTGTCTCTATTATTGAGTTTACTTGTACGTTCTGTAAGCGCTTGTTTATTAGTTTCTATTGCGTGCATCGTGTTGTTCTTGTCGCTTGTGTTTCGAAGAGTATCCGTATTCATAGCTGTGGTCGTTGTAGTTTGATCGATCGATATATTTTTAGTATTTGAGTTATTCAATTCCATTAGATTCCCACGAGTTGGGCCGAAAAATAAAAATAGCACTCTCGGGTGACGCCCATTCCAGGAGTGCTGGCTATATACTAACGAGGTCGCCTGGTATCGTTAAGTTTTTAGCGGGGTTTCTCCCGGGTTTTATAGACTTTTCCATGTCGTGGGCCGGCCAGTCAAGGCAAGCCCCCCGCCCCCTCCACAACCAATGGCATATCCCTATAGACACCTTAGATAGGGGGTCTTTGCCAAAGGTAGGAGGGATTACGGTATAAGTGGTTGGTGCATACCCCTGAGGGCAGCTCTTTCGAGCCACCGTCGGTTGTATGTACATTTTTTTTTATACTTTGAAAATATATGTGTGTACTGAGCTCAAATCGTAATTTTGAACTTTTGAACAAATTCTAAGTGAATCCTGCAATGCCTAGATAAACCATAAGTTTTAAGGGTGCTAGGTTAAACTATGTTAGTCAGTTATCACAAAAAAACTGAACCGGAAACGTCCTACAGAATGAGAAAAAAATCGAAAACTGATGTTAGTTGAAAATTACGAAAAAAAAACATTAAAAAAATTATAACTCGAAAACTACGCAAAATCGAAGAACATACATGGGGGTGATTTGGATACTCCTCATCATAAAGTATCTTAATTTTACGCTTAAACGTCAGCTTCTTGGCCACCCTGTATAAGTTCCTTGGCTGATGCTTAATTGGAACGTGAATTACTTTTCAAATGCACCAGCAGAGTGCGTTAAGTTCAGTGTTGACAAAGATATATTCATAGAGTTAGCAATAACCTCATTAATGTGTAAATAAAAAGAATTCTAAAATAAAATTGTATTCACATTTTAAATGTGGAATATAAAAAAAAAGTCAATGGTGTCAATTCGGACAAGATTCTCTAAACTTAAAACTAAATATAACATCACATGAAAAGGAGAGACCTTTTCATTCTGTAAAGAGAATAACAAGGATACACTTTTAAGTTTAGCTTTAGGCAATCATGCTAGAATCGACACCAGTGTTTGTACCTTCATCCATTTATTTTTTTTTACACAGTTTGAATTAACTTTGATTATTAAAAAAACTACAATGAAACGAGCTTTAAAAAAATTTCAACAATAAATAATATTATTAACGATAATAAATAAATAAAACATTTCGATTCATGCCAACTTAAAGAAACAACACTTGTTAATTTTTTGTCACTGTGATGGTATCGATTGCACGCATCACACGAAAACATTACTTTTGAGAGTGCTCAATTTTGCGAAGCGTTGCTGTAGTTGAAACATTCAACGTTAAGCATTATGCCTCATAATTTTAGTTTAGCTTTAGGCAATCATGCTAGAATCGACACCAGTGTTTGTACCTTCATCCATTTAATTTTTTTTACACAGTTTGAATTAACTTTGATTATTAAAAAAACTACAATGAAACGAGCTTTAAAAAACTTTCAACAATAAATAATATTATTAACGATAATAAATAAATAAAACATTTCGATTCATGCCAACTTAAAGAAACAACACTTGTTAATTTTTTGTCACTGTGATGGTATCGATTGCACGCATCACACGAAAACATTACTTTTGAGAGTGCTCAATTTTGCGAAGCGTTGCTGTAGTTGAAACATTCAACGTTAAGCATTATGCCTCATAATTTGCTCTAGTGTTGTAATAGGAAAACTACCTCAACCTAGTGAGTTTCTCAATAATTTAGCGTTCAAAATTCGTCTGTGGTGCAAGTGAAGAATTAACGGAATCTTTCGCTTTATCGGTCAAGAGTGGATGTGAGAACTTTATTGTAGTGGTGACTACCTTATAAATTTTGTACCAAACACTCCAAGAAACAGTAGAATATTATGTCACACCCACATTCTAACGTAAAAAAAGGAAGATTGATACAGAAATAAGACGATGGCTGCATGGCTTTGCCTTTGCCTCTCCAAATAGGAAAGAATCGAAGAATAGGACTTAAAAAAAAAGTATGAAGAAAGTGAGGTTATTTGTATTTAGTTTCGGTTTTAAGCAGTTTTAAGGTATTTATGCGGAAATGGATAATTTAAAAGTATTGTGTTCCAAGTTGATTAAATTGAGGTATGTTAATTATTGTATTATTTTACAATCAATTGAGGAAACTCAATATAAGTACCAGTCTGATAAATTTATACTGTATCATTAAAGTTTTTTCATTATGATTTTTTAATACAATAACATGAATGTAAAGAGAACATATATCTCTTATTTGTATTGACTGTGTTCCCACAGTATAGTTTTATCAAATAATATTTACTTTGGCATCTTTTCAAGATGGTTTGAATTTACATGGAGGGTGGTAGTGAGCCTCCCGCAGAGTCCAAATGTAATAACTTAAATGATATTTTTCATTACATAATTATTGATTGGCAAATGGCAAGTTCACTAAAGAACTGTTCTTGCCAAAGCATCAAATATATTCTATTCAATAGTTAACTAGAAATGTGATAATTATTCTGTTTATATCTCTATTACAAGAATATTGTTGTTATTTTATTTCTCAAATATCGTGCATGATTGGACTAATTGACATTTGATGTGGTGATTGAGTTGAAGAAATAATCTACCACAGAGTAAAATATAATGTAACATATGAGGGGGTGGGTAGAATCCTTATGAAATTGTATTTTAATTTTTAAACAGAATGTATGATATGTAATAAATTGGGTATAATTAAAATCATATCATAATCAATCATATCTGTTCATTTTGTTACATAAAACAAGCTTTCAAATGATATATGTTTCATCACTGCCAGAAACGGACTACCACTTTGGAAGCATCTCTTTTCCCATAATGGTCATAACTTTAAGGTCAACTAAACTAAACTTTTCAAATTTACGTTGCACACATTTCTTTACCTTCTTTACAGTTTTGTTTGAAGTAGGTATCAAACACCTACTTCTATTTTAAAAATTTTAGGAGTAGGTAGTTTTTTATTGTTGGTAAGCATAATTGTTAGGTGGTGGTATATTTTTCTTGTGGTGGATTGAAAGTTTGGCCCTTATGCTTAAAAAAAATTTTCGCACCAAGGCTACGTAAAAGGAGTCACACCTTTATGGTTCAAACAGTGATTTAAAATATTCATTGTAACTAAACTTCCGATATTATGCATCTAAGATTCCTTTAATAACTTTAAATCGGTTGTAGATATACGGCTTTATGCCTTTTGTTTTAGTAACTTTGTAAATGCATTGGTGGGCCAATGTAAAAATAAATTGTTATGGAGGTGAACTATTCAACATATGGCGCCAAAAAATTAGCGACATTGGGCATTAACGGCCACGGCGTGTCCAATGACTAACACTGAATTGGTTTAAGTGTAATGAGATACGTTGTGATTGATTGTTGCGCGATCGTATGTCTGACCGTCTGTCACTTTGCTCCTTGCACGCATTGTTTGTTACATTTCGGTGTTTTTGTTTTAACTTCGGTCTGTTGGTGTTTTGTGAAGTGAGAGACACTGAGAAACCTATATCTACTGCAAAGTACAATCATCTGATGACTCTTTTCAAATGGGTTTCTAAGGAGTTTCTTGTCTACTATAGAAATCTTACTCATAACGGATATATTCCCGACTTTCCAGCAAGTGACTAATTAATATACACTCGGCGTCAAAAAAACCTTTTAGAAAATCACTTTCAAACATCATTAACTTTTAATATGCACATATAGTCACATTAATAATGATTTTATTTAAAAGGTTACTTAATTAAATTATTAATTAACATTAAATAAAATAAAATAAAATAGCCTTTATTTCAGAACTTTCTTAACAAAACAATTGATTTAACATTTTACAATATGTCACGCAGTTCTGTGTGCCTTTTGGCAAAGGCCTCCTCTAACCGACGCCATTCACCTCTGTCAGCTGCGACTCTTGTCCAATACGGACCCAGAGTACAACTGATTTCGTCTTCCCATCTTCTAAACTGGCGTCCTCTCCTGCGCTTTCCATCTCTAGGATACCAGACTGTCACTCGCTTGCTCCATTTGTCTATGGTACCTCTCAGCAAGTGGCCCGTCCACCTCCATTTTTGGTTGTCCACTCTAGATAGAATGTCTGTTATTTTCGTTTTAGATCTTAGATCCTCACTTCTTATTCTATCCCTTAGGCTTACTCCTGACATACTTCTCTCCATAGCCCGTTGACAATGAGTCAGCTTATCCCTTAGCTGCTCCGTTAAAGACCAAGATTCACAACCGTAGGTCAGACACGGTAAAATGCAGGTATCGAATGCTTTCCTTTTAATGTGGATCCCCATACTCCTGCTTTTCATTATTTCCTTCATCGACCAGTATTTCTTCCAACCATAGGCTATTCTCTTGTTGATTTCTTTAGTCATCTGGTCACTAAAAGAAATAATTTGACCCAGATACACATACTCAGTAACATATTGAAAATGGTCCCCATTTAACAATAAATCAATGGGATCTGAGTTGGTCATCACCTTGGTTTTTTCTTTATTTAACTCCAGGCCTACTTCTATACTAATTGATGCTAAATCTTGGATCATAGTTTCAAGCTTCTTTGGATCCTCTTCAAACAAAACTATATCGTCCGCAAACCTGAGATGGTTAAGTCGACAGCCGCTGATGTTTAGGCCAAAGTTTTCCCAATCCAGTTTCCTGAAGATGCTTTCAAGAACAGCTGTAAAGAGCTTAGGAGACAGAGGGTCCCCTTGCCTTACACCTTTGCATATAGGGAATGGGTGGCCAATAGATTCTAATTTTATGCTACTTATGCTTTGTTCATACAGGTTTTTAATTATGTTTATATATACTTTATTTACTCCTTGTTGCTTTAAACTTGACCATATGAAGTGGTGGTTAATCGTGTCAAATGCTTTAGAGTAGTCAATGAAAGCAAGGTACAATGGTTTTTGGTATTCATTGTATTTCTGAATAACTTGCTTCACAGTGTGAATATGGTCGATAGTACTGAAGTTTTTCCTAAACCCTGCTTGCTCTACTGGTTGGTTCTCATCTAGCGTTTTTGATAGTCTATCTAGTATCACTTTAGCGAACACTTTATATACATTTGACATCAAGCTTATTGGCCTGTAGTTACCAATCTCATCTTTGGCTCCTTTTTTGTGAATGAGTATGATGTGAGATTCGCACCACTGTTTCGGAATGAGTTCCGTGCGTAATACATCGTTGAAAATTGCTGCCAAAATTGGGCTTAGATCCACAATAGTTCCTCTCATTAGCTCATTTGGGATTCTGTCAGGGCCAGGTGCCTTTTCTAGTTTCTGGGAGTTGATAGCCTTCTCAACTTCTGCAGAAAGTATAACTGGAACCTGGTTTTCTTCGATTTCAGTTTTAGAGGTTTCAAAGTTATATTTCGTGGTAGTGTGATGATCAGAGTATAGTGAGCGATAATAGTTGGTAGCTAATTTTTGAATTTCTATACGTTTTGTAATGTCCCTTTGGTTTTTCTTCATTTTAGGGATCCAATCTTTACCTTTTTCTCTTAGAACATTTAGTGCTTTCTTTACACCACCAGTCCTTGCAATGTGCTTTTCTAGTGTTTGTGATCTCCTTGAATGTCTATCTTTTTTCATGCTTTCTCTTATTTGTTTGCTTAAATTTGAAACTTTGCTACGGTTGTCTTTTACTTTTTCTGCTATTAGCTTCTTCCTTTCTTCCAGGAGCTTCATAGTTTGTTCGCTGTGTTTGATGTCTTTGCTTTTTCTTTTATATCCTTTAGATAGTTCGGTAAGTTTTTTCTCTACATTATTATATTTTTCGACCACATGTAATTCAGACCTGGCTAATTTTAGTAGAGGTTCGGCAACGCGTATATCCAATGTTTTGAGTTCTTGATCGTAAGGTACATTAAAAAGGTTTCTGTTAATTATTAGTTTCCTCGACTTTTTCGGTAGAAAGTAGTTAAGACAGCTACGTAGCATGCGGTGGTTTGTGTTAAAATTTAGATTTTGTATTACATGTGTGTCACTGAAAAGTCTGGGTTTATTTGTCAGAATATAATCTATTTCGTTTTTGGTTCTTCCATCCGGAGATATCCATGTCCATTTGTTTTTGGGTTTTTTTCTGAAGACAGAGTTGAGTACTGTGAGGTTGTTTTCTAATAGAAATTCCGCTAGCTTATTTATTGCCGTTTTTGCTTCTTTTACCTTGCCCGAAATTCCCCAGAATTTTATTTTCTCCTGCTTGTCTCGTGCCTAACTGGGCATTGAAATCACCCATCACTATAAGGTTCTGATTAGTATAGTTAGCTACGACATCTGAAAGTGAGGAGTAGAAGAGCTGGATATCACTCTCGCTCGCTTGTTCTGTAGGTGCATATACTTGTACTATAATACAGTCTTTTTTGCTTGTGGGTGAGTTCATGTGGAGTGTCGCTATTCGGTCTGATAACCCCTTGAATTCTTTTATCAAGTTCTTGTATTTCAGTTTTACTAGAAAGCCTATACCCCGGTGTCCCGTCGTCCCACCTTTATAGTACATTACGTAGTCCTTTCTTTGTTCAATTCCTTCTCCTTCTCTCCTCACCTCGCTGATACCTAAAATGTCCCACTTTAAATCTTTAAGAGATAGTTCTAACTCCTGAAGGCTTTCTTCGATTCTTAGTGTCCTAGCATTCAGTGTACATACATACATTATATCTTTTCTCTGGATCGTTTCTTTTTTGCAGTTTTTCTGTGTTAGAGGGTGTTGGTCATACTTCCCCTCGGTGACCAACCGGCTTGGGGAAGGGCTTCTTTCTGTTATTATTATTTCAGTTTGATTGTTTGTGGTGTTTGTCTCCCGGTTTGGTGGTTTCGTTGGTTGCTATTGTTTATTTGCTGTGGGTGTTGAAAAAGAGTTCGATCTGGCGCGATTCATTTGTTCTAGTTTTTTTGTCTTGCAAATTTTAGTCTGCGCGGCATACGTTGATTCTGCAGAGTGTGGTGTTTTCGGTGACTTTGACAGGGATCTTTTCCTTTTTTCTGATGGTTTTTCTTTTATAATTAACTTGTCGTACCGGATGTAGGCCTGTTTTCCTTGTTTAATCTCCTCCTGTTGCTGTATTTTAAGTTCTTTTCTTTTGTTTAAGACGTCTTTTGAGTAATCTTCACTGATGTATACGTTTTGTGGTAGAGATTTTTTGTTCTTTAACATTTGCGTTTTGCGCCATGCCAAGGTTACGGAGATAAGAATCGGTCTTATTTTATTTGGGGTTGCTTTTCCTAGTCTACGAGCATCACTGATCTCCCACTTATCCCAGTTTTCAATGCCAGCTTTTTCACAGGCGATATTAAGAGTTTTTAACACCAAATCTATGACATCCGCATTTTCGGTTTCTTTGACTCCGTGCATTATTAAATTATTTCTTCTTATGTCCCTTTCTAGGTTTTGCAGCTTAGATTTTAAGGAACTAATTTCTTTTTTTAACTCTTGATTTTCTTCCAACAGTGGGTTAAGTTTTTCGTCTATTGTAGCAGACAGTTTTTTGGTAACGTTATCCGTAATTAAACTGGTTTGCTTTTCGAACTGCTCCTCTATTTTAGAAAGTATCATTTGCATATCCATTTTTGAATTTCCAACTATTAAGGTTATTTTTTTTTTCGTCACTGGCAAACCTTTTTGCGTTATGGTATCCCAGGTAGTCTTTGGTTTAATTTTAACAACTGGCAGCACCAGCTGTCAAATGTCAAATAAGATGACAGTTGATGTTTGAGTCAGCTGAGTGATTTGCGGAAATTGCGTTAGAGGTTTGTGCGAATACTTTGTGTTAATTACTATAGGAATAGGTACTAGTTATTCGTATATACACCTACTTGAACGTAATTCACTGTTTTTCTCGGGAAGAACGATTCTTTTGCACGAAAAATCACTTGATTACTGCGCTTAGGACTTGGATGCGTGGTTGTCAGCACTATTTGCAGCAGAATTCCTAGATTTTGCAACACTTTTTTAGTATTTGTGGAGACTTGCGAATAAGCGTACGTTCACTTGACAGTTCGAAACCGGAAAAAAAAAATAACATTACTTTTCATTATCAAATAAAACCTAGTGCAACAAATAAAGTGTCACAAAAATTCGATGCAAGTTTTGCTACCGGGAGAGTCGCTTGTTGCGCTTCCTTGTGTGTGTATAAAACGGTCCACACGGAGTCAATGTGGGTCATTCGCCAATGTTGAAGAGGACACACGCACAGATTTTACTGAAGAAAAATCACCTCGAAGATGGATACCACAGCTGATGAAGCCGCTCAAGTGGTTGCACTACGGCAATCAGGGATGCGGCAGTGTAATGTTGCCCGGCAACTGAACCTGAGCCGTTTTTCCATTCGAAGAGTATACCAGCGCTTCATAGAGACTGGTGGCTATATCCGGAGACATGGGTCCGGTAGACGTCGCTGTACTTCAAAAAGAGACGACCGTTGATCAGGACGTCTCTGTCGAACTCTGAGAAATCGTCTCTTTAACGCTGTTCAGTTGCAACAGCAACTTCAGGCAGTTTGTAGACGCACCGTGAGCATCTCTACGGTTAGAAGAAGACTGGAGGAGAAAAAAATAGCGGCCCACAGAGCTGCTACGGGTCCGAAATTGACAGCAGCGCATCGGCGAGCCCGCTTACAGTTTGATCGTGACCACGTCCATTGGACCCTTGAGCAGTGGAGAGCTGTTCTCTTCTCAGAAGAGACACGAGTGTGTCTTTTCTGCAACGACCGACGGAAAAGAGTATACCGGAGGCAGGGTGAACGTTTTGCAGAAGCCTACATCCAGGAGACGGTGGAATATGGGGGCGGGTCCTGCATGTACTGGAGCGGTATGTCGGCTGCCGGCAAAATCAACCTTGTCTGCGTCTTTGGGACTGGAAGTTCTCGCGGACAAGGGTCACCGCTATGTCACAGAGATCCTGGAAGTGCATGTGGTCCCCTTTGTTGAATCTTTTGGCGAGAGGATCACATTAATGCACGACAACGCCCGCGCCCACACTGCAGCTATCGTGAGTGACTTCTTACAGAGGTCCCAAATGTCTGTGATGCAGTGGCCAGCGAGAAGTCCGGATCTGAATCCGATAGAGCACCTCTGGGATCATCTTAAACGCAAGGTTCGATCTCGGGATCCGGCTCCTTCGACTCTACAGGAGCTCCAAGACGCGGTGATTGAAGATTGGTTTGGGGGGGGGGGGGGGTGAGATCTTAATTTAATTGATACTTTTTGTACATTTTTCTTTTGTAAATTATATTATGTGTTGTTAATAAGGACTTAATTAAGGATTTTTATTATTTTAATGTTGTTTCTATAGTTTTAATTAATTAAAGTTAAATTTAATGGTTTTTGGATACTCCTTTTTGTTTCCTTTATACTGATACACAACACTATTCTTTAAATAAGGTTTAAGAATATTTGAAGACGATTTTGCCGCCGTGTGTTATACCCCATTAAATAGATGAATAATTAAATATTTTAATATTCTCTCATTTTTTTATTATTATTAAATTAATAATTATCGTTTATTTAGGGAATAGTTTTTTTGTTAAGAGATGTCCGACTTTTTGCCAAAAGAACCACAGTTAATAAATAAACACGATAAAGTCGCATTTGGACAAACACCTCACATTAAATTACAAAAATTGGAGGTATAAAGCCGTATGGGCACATACTAATCAGTTGAACAAATACATTGAATAATTTTAGAGGCAAAAAGGCGTAAGTCATCATTTTAAAAAAAGTTAATTTTTCACTGTTTAGAAACATTGTTTTTAAATTTTAATTATAAAGCCAGTTAAGCGACTTATTTAGCTAAGTAAATACAAAGAAAACATTTACGTATTGTTTGTACTTATTGAAATATTAGCCGATAAAATTGAATTTATATTTTATTCTGTTCTGTAAAGTTGGCAAAACCAACATCCGCCCTAATGCATCTAAGCTCTAGGCTTCTTCACATCTCTTCAAAGGACTCCCATTGTGGAAAGGTATGCTGTACAGCTATGCTGTATGTGCTATGGTGTGTGGGCAAAGAAGTCCACTTACAAATAGTACTACAAAGAAATGGGTCAGTCTGTGCCCGTGGTTCTTCTGAAGGAAACGGGAAGGTGGGATAAGGAAGAATAACTCCTCAGAACACTCGCCATGCTACAGTCGAGAGATATCGTTTAATGACGCCACATCGCTGCGTAATTGTGGAGACTCGAGGTTGTTAGTTAGGTTTCTCTGATGCGAGTAGCGCGTCCCTGCAACTTATTCCAAGCACCGAGTTAGTACTTGGCGAAGCCATCCCCGAGGTAAACTAATATTCCACGCAGGGCCGCACTTGCATTTTATACAACAGTAGAGTTGATCGCACGTGAAAAAACGCCGCATTGTTCAAGTCCGAGTTTTTGTGAAGCTGTTTTGATCATGGTTTCAAAGTAGTCCTTTGGATTCAGGTCAGAGCAAACTTCCGTACCGAGCATGTTGTTACTCTGTAGCGCCAGGATTGTGACCTGAAGAGAGGGCATGGAAAGGAATGGTGACGTTTTAGCCATGAAAGCGCAAAACTGACGTTTCTTAGCATTGAACTCAAAATCCAAAATCTTGGTACCACCATTCGAAAACGTTGTCTAAAGCCTGAATTAATTAAATGACAAGATTCTCTCCTCGTTTCTCCTTGGTATCTATCTACTCATCCATAGCTGCTGACGCTGCGTGTCTGAAATATCCCGCATGCACTTAGCTATCGTCTGCATGCTGCATTGTAGTAATGAATATGTCCAAGAGGAATTATTGATGTGCAGCAGAAAGAATAGGGGGAATAGGACAGACACCTTAGGTACATTTTTTTTACACTCGCACCAATTAGCCTAGCCCCAAAGTAAGCACTATAAGGCTTGTGTTATGGGATACTAGGGTAACGGATAGAATACATATACAGTACATATATAAGTATATTTATATAGAAATACATATTAAACATCCATGACTAGAGTACAAATACTCGTATTTATCACACAAAACATCTGCCCCCACCGGGATTCGAACCCGGGACCTCTCGAGTCGGCGACACTCACTGACATGAACTGCGAACTACATCCGTCAGTAAGGACGCGAATTCTACGCACATGTAGGAAGTCGGCCTCCTAGGCATAGAATAAAAAAGAAAGAAGGTTGGAGAAGAAAAGACTTGTGCCAGACCCTTTGAATCAAGGCTGCTGCCAAAGACTCACCCCGCTTTTGATAGCCACACCCTAGATGCGTGTCACGTACCTACGCTCATAGTTTCACCTTAAATCCATTTTTAGGATCGCTAAACTTAATCAGAGTGTGGTCCTCTAGGTACAGGTTATATATTGGGGATAGATTTGCTGAATAGATTAGCATTAAAGAAACGGGTCCTCGCTAATGTGACTCCGCTTAGATCTATATTAGTTCAAGCTACGCCACTGACATTAACTCTATTACCATAAAAAAGTTTAATGCGTTTAACAATCTTTAAGAAAAAATGGCATACCTTCAAAATTTGCTTCAACAAGGTTTGAAACCGTGTTAAGGCAAATCTTGTATATTTCGCTCTGTTTTAACTCTCTGTGCTATTTAATTCATTTCAGAGTAGATCACATTGTAACAAGATCAGCGAAATTTACAGTAAAATACAGACCTCCTCATTGGTATGCACCCAAAGTGAATGTGGTATGTATTCTAATTTTATAATTATAAATATACATTTTAAGTATGTACTTTGGCAATCGGAAAAGACAAAAAAGTTTGCGAGGGGCTTGTGGAAGACGTGTTAAATATTATATTCAATTCAACAAGTAGCCTTTTCAGTTTCACCCTATTGTCCGTCTGTAGATATATACGTAGTCAGGTCATAAATCTGTCACATGTTAAATATAAAATAATTGAAACAAGTTTATTCATTATGTAACCATTTACATACCAAAATGAACTTAACAAAACATAGATTCTTATGACAATAAAGTTTATTCAAAATGACCTCCGTGATTTTGAATACAGGCCTTCAATCTGCGCGGCCAGTCGTCTATCGCAGCACGATCGAGGTCCATGTCAATATCGGCGGCTGCCTTAATCAATGATGTCTTGAGTGACTCCAAATTGGGATGAAGCTTTGAGCACGCCATTTCCTTCAAGTGTTGCCATATCTTGTAATCTAATGGACTCAAATCTGGACTAGAGGAGGGCCAGTCTTCGTGCCGGATGAAGTCGATTTCACGCGCCGAAAGTCAGTCTTGTGTGCTCTTCGCTCTATGAGCTGGCGCCGAATCTTGTTGGAATACCCAGTGCCTGTTATTGAACATGGTATTAGAAACAGGTTCCAAAAAGTTCGTCAGGACTGTATTTTGATCACACAACTGCATTCGTTTTTACACCTTTCTCACAAAATGTACCTCTGTTAAGCCCCAATAAGAAACTCCCAACCATACCATGAGCGAGGATGGAAAATGACCTCGTTGGACACGCGGGTTGCTCGCTTCTTCACTACTGTGTGCGTACACCTTATCATTTTGTTTGTTGTAGCTCTCTTCTACGGTAAAAAATTTTTCATAAGAAAAAAGAATTTCCCGATATTTTTGCCCGCGTACCGCTTCAACAAAGCGCGGTATCTCTTCAGGCTCAGGTCCATTAGACGAGCATTCAAACGATGTCCTGTTTTTCTTCGATATGCCCGAAGCCCTAGTCTTCATTTAACACCCTTTTCACCGTGGTTCTGCTTAACTTTGTGATTTCTTTGAATTCTCGCCTTCACAGCTTTTATCACTGCTGGAGTCCTAACAGACCGAGGGCGACCACTTCTTGACCTATCATCTACACTAGAGTCTTCATTGTATCGTTTGATGGTACGATAAACGAATCTTTTAGTTATATTCAAAATTTTCAGTATGGCAAAAATTTGAATTGGCGCGTAACCGCAACGATGCTACGCAATAACTGCAACACGGTCTTCTTTAAGCATCCACTCCATATTTAAAAATGAGTAAAATTCTAAAAAGTATACATTTTTATTTTCATGAACAATTCGAATTCAATAAACTTCTTTGTGGCCAGCATTCTAAAAGAAAAGTTTTTACTGTGTGATAATACTTATGATCTGACTGTGTATAGGAGTAGATTTTTAAAACAAGACATTATTTTTAATGGATGTTCTGAGCTTCAAATATGGTAAAAATGTCCATGACAATTTTTGGTTAATTTATTTTTTGGTGAATTATACGATCGGGCGACGACAGTATTCCACTTTAATCAACTGTTCGGCCATGACATTTTATATAGGTACTAAAAATTCAGTGACATCATTGACCTATATTTACAAATATCAAAATGAAAGCTAGTAACGGATGCCTTTGTACGGCTTCTGCTGGCCCTCGCAGCCTGCCGCCCCGCGCCCGGGTCATGGCTCTTTTTTGATAGTGTTGGTATATATTCATGTTGGTTCTCGTCAACTCGAATATATATCAACAAATATTTTTCCGAAACCTCTCGCCAAGAATGTTGAGCGCTTAGGTCCTCACTCATTGATAGCGGCGAGGTCGTGGCCGATCCCGAATACGTTAAGTTTTTTAAATAATAGTATTTTTTTAAATAATGTTTAGTAACTATAACAACACTAAATCAGCGACACTAGTTCTAATAAAAATATTTTTATTATAAAGTAACCTACTATTTTAGGGGATCAAATACTAAAAAAAGAATAGTAGGCGAAACTACTATATTTTGCGTAAAGAGAATATTTATTAGTAAAAGCTTTCATAAAATAAAAATTTCATTAGTAAGGTGCAGAGTAGCAAAAAACATTAATTTAAAAATAAAATAAATATTTAAACCACATACCTACCATATTATTTTGTTATCTACTATATTTTTAGAGGTAACAGCTTCGAAAATACTTTATTTGATAGACAACTAATTGGAAACCATACTTGGAACCCTTAAAAAGCAGCTTTTTATCTGTTCACACTTTCTACAATGACTTTACAGGTGAAGGATGATGACTTAACACAAGATAACATGCAATTCATAAAAGAAGTAATTAGTGACAGAAATGATTCTCAGCAAGAATTAGAATCACCATTGGTCCAAAGTATATCTCATACTTCTCAGCAATGGCTGCCAACAACTCGAAGGGTTGGCTTAATAGCACGTAAAATAGGCAACTATCCCGTTTGGTCTAATAACGGCAAGAAAATGCAGACAACATTACTTCAGGTAACTAAGTAGTTTGTATAAAGGTAGGTACTACTCCGATCTCGGCTGCAGGATACAGATGCAGACAGCACGTACAGCTGCGGCCGAGATCGAAATAGTAAGTTAAGTAGTAATTAAGTTAAGTAAGGAAGAACTCACTGAATATTAATCATCTTCATCAGCCTATTAGACTGCGTCTCCAGGAGAAATGTACAAGGATGCGGTTTGGGGGTTTTAGCACATACAAAACAAGCCAGGGATGTGTGCAAGAAAAGTGTCCAAGATAATTCGAACACGAATGTGGATGAGGTATTAATGTGTGCTACGGTCCGTAGCAAGTAAGACAAGTGGGAAACTGTTAACAGACAGCAAAGAGCCTGGATACACATTCTCGTTCTGGTGGAAGCGCAGTCTAAGGCGTCCATTGGACAGTAGGTTTAGTTTGGCAATCAAGGTATGACTGATGAATAACTTGTCGTCCATCGCCATTCGGATTTTATCATCATGTGACTAAAGGCTAATATACACTTCGGTAAGTACATCAGCGAGTTAACTTACGGTCTTCGGCAAGTTAAGTTTGTAACATGATTATTTTTGTTAAGCGCCATCTATTGAAACTGATAAGAATTAGTACATAAAGAATAAGTTGACGGCTCAATATAGCGTGCTTTTTCTTATTAGTTTCAAACGTAAAGACGGTGACACAAATCGCCGTCAGGGGGCGTCTTGGTTGATGAGAGATTATGTGAGAAAGTGGGGATTCTTTTCTGTATTAGACTACGAGGAGCAACATCGTATTTTGAGCTCGCTTGAAAAGAATTAAGGAAAAGAATAGGTGATGAAAGGTGGCTAAGACTACACCAAAGGAAGACGATGTTGTAGTAGTTTAAGGATAATTTAATAGAAAATCCCATAACTGGGTTCGTAGGCGTAGTGGTTAATTGTTACTCTTCATACTTAAATGTGATGAATCATTCCACATGAATTAACCAAGAATTAGTTGGCTTCATTTCTTACAACAAAATGGCGACGTCATGAGACCACGTTGCGGTGATGAAATATAACAAGGCTTGGTGAACAGGCTGGACTTCGGATCTTCGAATAACAAGATAATAAGAAGCTGTCACCATCATAACTGTCTTCTCAGCTACCCATTTCAACAGATTTCATCAAGGAATGTAAACTTAGTTTGTCAACGTCGTACAATAAGGTAAAAAAGAGTATGTATTTAGTTTAATAACGTTGGAAATTAAATGTTAACGCCACCACTCTACGATTAAACCCAGTATATGGTAAAAGAAAGTTGTTTCAATCATTTCACAGCATAAACTACACCCTGAAATAATTAAGTCCTTTGTTCTCTGATTTTGATAGTCGGTGAGTAACATATCCACTTAAAAATTATGTTACAAGTTCTTATCATCATTTGGTCAGGGATTTGCCAGTTAAGTACATACTGTTTAACTGTCCCATTCCTGAACTCCCTACTGTATTTACCGAAATGTAAGTCAGCCTTTAATAGTCCGTATTAACATAAGACATTACTCGATTGAGTAAACACGTTAAGTAAAAACCACAGCACGGGCTTTTGTTCACACATCGAGCATTCATTTATCGGGTGGCGCGCGACGTTCATTATTCACAGAACCGTTCGAACCTAATGATTCATTCGGAATGAACTGACGTCTGTTCAACAAAGGAGACGAATGCATTTGGGAAGGCTCGCAATTCAAAAATAAAAGAAAATAATATGAAAGAAGGTACGGTAAGCTACGTAAGTTAGCTTTAGTTTTTAAAAGACTTCGTTGTCTTTTGAATTTTCAAAAATTTGCTCCATGCGAGCCTACGAGTTGTGAGTTTTGCAGTCCACACGTTGATTTTTCTCGATATAGAATAAAACTATCGAGTAATACCGTATGTGAGAATGGACATTAGACGTCAGTTTGCTGGCAGTCAATGTTGAACTGATAAATAACGCCTTAGACTACATGTACTTAGTCATGAGAACTGTATAAGTTTTTTCAGACATACAAAAAGTACTTATTTCATGTTTTTTTTTCAGGTGGTTGATAACCATGTTATAAAATATATACCACCAGAAGAATTTAAGCCAATGCTGACCACCGAACGTAACTGGCGAGAAAAAAGAAAATTAGGCTGTATGTTAGTAGGATCTGAAACAATAAATCCCTCTACAGTTACAAAGGACTATTGTGGTCTATTTAACAGTGTTGGCATGCTACCGAAAAGACACTTGCGCAGATTCATGGTTTCGCCAGAAGCTGCTCTTCCTACTGGGACACCATTATTTGCTACACATTTTAGAGTTGGCGATTATATAGATATACGAGCAAAAACGTAAGTTACTATATACTACTTAAGTTTATATGTTAGACAATTGACATACAGTTCATTATGCTATGTACGATTTCGTTGCAAAAATTCGCACCCATTCTATTCCGCGGCGGTATGAATTGAGCCTTAAGTAAATGTTAACATTATTTACTACTTGAAAATAATGAAACTGTATTCTACTTATTCAGAAATATCTCTCGCCACATAAATAGATATGATGCACATGCATTGACCACCTTTCTTTTTCAGGATTGATCGAGGTTTTCAGGGCGTTATGAAACGGTGGGGTTTCAAGGGAATGCCCGCATCGCATGGAGTTACCAAGACTCATCGACGTCCAGGGAATATAGGTTCCGGGGGTGAAAAAGCCCGTGTATGGCCTGGAACCAAAATGCCAGGTCACATGGGAAATAGGTAAATGTGAAACTTCCCTTATCTAATATATAAAAATCTCGTGTCATGGTGTGCGTAATTGATCTACTCCGAAACGGCTCGACCGATTTTCGTGAAATTTTATATGCATTTTCAGTAGGTAAAAAGAGCGTAGGTACTCCTTCCTTAAAGGCCGGCATCGCATTTGTGATACTGGTGTTGCAAGTGTCCATGGGCGACGGTGATCACTTACCATCAGGTGAGCCGTCTGCTCGTATGCCCCCTATAACATAAAAAAAGGTCAGAGAATCGGACAACATCTATTTTTCATCCCCCTAAATGTTAAGGGTTTTGGTGGTTAATACCGTTGAGTTTTTTTTGACAATTTTTTTGCTTTTATTTTCTTATGATACATCATACAAAAATACATACAACCCTAAATTTTCAACCTTCTACGGTGGTAGAAGGTTGAAAAATTAGGGTTGAAAATAGGGGTTGGTGAACCCCTATTTTTTTATGGCGGTACGACTTTCGCTGGGACAGCTAGTCTAGTATAAAATTCTAGTATTAAATAAAGAATTAACTTAGTTTTTTCATCGCAGTAACATTGAGTAGGTACTGTAACTACATATCATATCAACGCGCGCATATCATATTCACCTTGTTTTAAATGATCCTGTCTTAAAGCTAAGTTTTTAATTAATTTTCTTTTTTTAGATGGAGAATAATTCGTGGGGTAAAAATACTTCGAGTTAATACAAAATACAACGTTTTGTGGACATTGGGAGTTGCCATTCCTGGTGAAACTGGGGCAATGTGTTATTTATTTGATACGGTTCTTCCTCTTCGTAAACTGAAAAGTAGTCCACCATTTCCCACATATTTTCCCTCCGATGATCTTCCCGTCGAATATTATGATGAATGTGTTCATCCCTTTTCCGATCCAACTTTAACATTTGAAGAAACATAATTAGGAAACTTATATTGATAATGTAATTAAATATAGATTAAAATAAATTGGCTTACGCTTACTTGTTGTTGCTTATTCCTCTCACCTAAATAGACAAATAAACTTAGATTAAAATCAGCTATATTAAATACCCTAGATACCAGAACCGAACCAAGTGAGTGGTATTCAAGCACTTCTTGATTGGAACATATTTTGAGCGCCCGTGGTGTATCTAGTGTATTTAATATCGTTGATTAAAATAAAAAGAGAAGATACGGTACACTCTTAGGTACTGGTGAGGCTCCCGAGGACGCTCTGGTGTAGTGGCGCACGCAGGTGCGCCGATCCCAGAGCGCCCTCATAAGGGCCGAGGAGGGTACCGGTGCGGTGGTTTTTAGTGGGTAGGACCGGCGTTGTTCCGCGCCGGGGAGTCGCACACACGTCGCGCGCCTGGCAAGCGCGCGGTATGGTGCGTAAATGCATTTTCCACCGTCAACAAAAAAAAAAGGTACTATTGAGACTCCGACTCAACTTATAGTGCGGTTAGACCTTCAACCGCGCCTGCGTCGCTCTTTCTCTCTCTACAAACGGCCAAGTTGCATTGTTGTCCTTTTCTGGATAACAAAGGGCAAATATAAGCGAATAGCATTCACAACAAAACGAGATTTTTGAGAAAAATGTGTGTGGCATTCGTTAGTAGGCATGTTGCATGACAAATTTTGACTAAAGGCAAGTTGTGTTCATCTACCTAATTTAACACTGGGTACACTTTTGAGACAGAAAGAACCATGTGTGTAGGCGACGCATTTCTGAGTCTGTGCTTTAATTTAAATTAAATAATAATAGTTATGAATAGAAAATATAAATAATTATCTGGTAAAATCTTCTAAAATCATTAAAAACAATGTATCTTATTAAAGTTTCGTGTACTACTAACGCCATCTGTTGACCTAGAGGACAACTATATTAACTTTTTTATTGAAGGTGTTTTTGAATATTTTTGTAAATTTATTTGGTGGTAATTAAAGACAACGCTTTTTTCTGTCGTTACTTAAGGTAAACGCTGTGTTTTATTTTCTATCCTTTATAAAAGTTGGTCTTCGAGCCAAATCTACGTAAACTAGTGACAATAATGTTTAGACCTCCAACGTCGAGGAGAATAACCCGCCGCCAGCGACAGGAAGAAGCAGACGCCGACGCAAAAATGGAATTTGCATCTGACCGTGGAAACAGGCGAACAACCTTTGCTGAAGACAAGCTAAAGTCCAGCCTAAGCTGTGGTAATTTGCTGCACAATCGAGATGCGATTTGTGAACCTTCAAAACAGTCGTCACTTTGTGGATCCGTTAAAAAGACGACCCAATCGGTGAAGAGTTCCGTTAAGACAAATAGGTCAACGTCATCGTCAACAGCAGCACGACGCAAACAGCTGGAGCTTGAAGCAGCAGAAGCTAAGGCGAAGATAAGAATGGAGTTGATCGACAAACAATTAGAGGCAAAGTTAGCTGCAATGGAGGCTGAAGAAGAAGAGCAGCATCAACAAAGAGACAGTAGTAGCAGGTGTAGTCAGGACCTGCTGGATGAAGAAAAACAGGGACAGGTGGAAAACTGGTTTGATAGTAAGTGCAAAGCCCCCGTTGACCCATGCGTTGAGCAACCAAGTTCCAGTTTACAAGAGTTAAGTTTACAAGCACAAAAGGATTTAGTAGTACTCCAAAAGCCGTCTCATGATGAACGACTGCTCAGTAGACTTGCGACACCGCAAGATTTGCCTTCTTTTGGTGGTGATTGTGTGGAGTGGTTACACTTCAAAAATGCTTATGAAGAGTCCACACGAGTGTGCAATTTTAGTGATTCAGAAAACCTGTGGAGGCTACGCAGGGCACTGAGAGGTAATGCTTTAGAAGCTGTGACTGATTTGTTAATCGGAAATACACCACCTCAAACTATAATGGAGGCACTGGAATTGAGGTTCGGTCGCTCTGACATTATAATTTTCAATATAACAGCTCAATTAAAGAAGTTAGTACCTTTGTTAAGCTGGTATCAAAGCGAAATAATAAATTTTTCGATGAAGGTGAATAATTGTGTCGCAACTATAAGGGCACTCAAACAAGAAAGCTATCTTCATAGTCCAGAACTGGTCGCCGCATTAATATCAAAATTACCAAGTACTTTAATTGGTAAATGGACTGAGTATGCGTTTGATAAGCTATCAGAAAGTCGACCGAAGCTTGAAGTGCTGGCATCATTTCTTAAGCGTGAAGCTGAGTTGACAGCACTAGTGGGCTTATCACAACCACGAGAAATAAATAAAATTTCGGAAAGCACTTTTAAACGCACAGACAGCTCAAAGTTTCGCAACCGACCTATATTAGCCGTAAACACAGTCAGTGAAGAAGACAATAAGAACCTATGTATTTTTTTGCAACAAAACAAATCATAAGCTACCCGATTGTCGTAATTTTCGTCGAGCTATGCGAAAAGACAGATGGAAATTTATCAAAAACCACGGCTTATGCTATTGTTGTTTACTGGTTCGTCATAATAGAAACGTTTGTCCTGTGCCTGTGTGCGATGTAAACAACTGCGGCTTATCACACCACCGATTACTTCATTGGACGAAGCCGAACGCGTCAACAGCTGAGCAGCAGCGACAGGGTATCCAGCCGCCACCACCGCAGTCGCTGACCGCTTGCGATGACGCAACGGTGGCTCACATTGCATCCAGTGACGTCGCGCAATCCGCTAGTGAGGTGTTATTGAAAATAGTACCAGTGCAACTGTATGGACCTAACGGTATACATAACACGTATGCTTTATTAGATGACGCCGCATCAGTGTCAATGATCGATTCTGAGTTAGCTAACACCTTAGGACTGACAAGTGAGCAGGGTTCGTCTATAAAGTTCATTGGTGCGTTTGGAATCGAGGTGTATCAATCGAACGCCCCGAAAGTGCATGTGCAGATCGGTAATAACTGTATGGACAGCGTTAAGTATAATATTACGTTACGAAAGGTATCAAAACTTAATTTACCTATGCAAAATTTGTCTATTATCAATAAATTAACATGTAAACATTTATTACCCATAAAAGAATTTGTTTGTAAACAATGTGTTGTACCGCGTTTGCTCATAGGTGAAGATAATTACTTTCTTATCACTCCAGTCGAAATAAGGCACGGAAACAGAAATGCGCCGTATGCAACTAAATGTCGATTGGGATGGTCCATTCATGGCTACTGTGGTCGCACTCACTCGCTCACTCAGGTAAGTGAACCTTTTTTTCATCTCGCTCACTCCGAAGAAAACAAATCTCATATTATTGAATTAAATGAGTTGATAAAAAATTCGTTCGATATTGATTCTGTAGGAATTTCAACCGTATGTCATGAAAATAAGGCTGATGTTAGAGCATTGGAGATATTAGAGAATACGTCTCGGAAAATAGGTAACCAGTGGGAAGTGGGCTTACCGTTCAAAAAGGATGAGTTACTATGCCTAATTCTTATAATTACGCATTTTCACGAAATAAGTTGTTGTTACGAAAATTTAGCACTGATAGCGATTACGCCGCTAGATATAAAATAGAAATGGCTAGATTATTTGAAAATAATTACGCACGAGAACTTAGCGATAAAGAGCTAAAAGATGATTTTTCTCATGTATGGTACCTGGCTCATTTTGGTGTTCAAAATCCAAATAAACCAGGAAAGTTAAGGTTAGTTTTTGATGAAGCCGGTCGGGTGGATAATATTTGTTTAAATGATTATTTGATTACTGGTCCCGATTTATACAATTCATTATTTGGTATTATGTTAAGATTTAGAGAGAATAAAATAGCGATTATTGCAGATATTAAAGATATGTTTTTACGTATTAAAGTTAGAAAGGAGGACCAGAATGTATGTCGCTTTTTATGGCAAGAATCAACTGATTCACCTATTAAACACTGCGTAATGCAAAGTTTAATTTTCGGTGCAACTTGTTCACCTTTCATTGCTCAATTTATAAAGAACAAGAATGCATTAAAATACGAAGATTCGTTTCCCGACGCTGTAAAAATTATTCTCAATAATCATTATATGGACGATTGTCTTTATACTGTAAATAATGAGCAAATGGCAATAAAGTTAGTGCACGAAATAACGTCTATTCATAATAGCGGAGGTTTCGAGATAAGAGGATGGGCGAGCAATAGCAAACCGGTTTTAGAAAATATACCGAACGACTCGCACGCGCGCTCCGCTGTTCAATTCAAAGACGGAGCTACGCACACAAGTGAGCGTACACTAGGATTAATATGGCAATCTACGGATGATACGTTTGGTTTTAGTATTTCATTAAATCGTATTCCCGAACATATTTTAAATGGAACTATTCGACCCACAAATGTTAAGCATAATTATGTCAGTTTACGATATACATGGTTTCTTGTCTCCTTTTATTATTAAAAGTAAAATATTATTACAAGATGTGCATCGAAGTGGGGTGGACTGGCAGTGTCAGATCCGTCCTATTGAGAACGATCGTTGGTTGAAATGGTTAGATGAATTGAAGTGTCTTAGCGCGCTGCGCGTGCCGCGTTGTTATGACAACGCAGGTGTGTGGATACCGTGTTATGATAATGATGAGTCATGCACGCATGAGACTGACCTTTTTATCACTGATACGCAAATGCATATTTTTTGTGACGCGTCAATTAAGGCATACGCCGCGGTAATCTATTATCTATTTACACGTTCAGATGGTTAGGTAAAAGTTTGTTTTGTGGTCAGTAAGAGTAGGGTGACTCCACTTCGTCCTATATCCGTACCAAGACTAGAATTACAGGGAGCGTATGGTACGTTCGGTAAAGTCCGCGTTGAAAGTTATTCTGAAAGAACGAGCACCACACCAAGAAACTCTCATAACTTTGATGGACGAAGTTGAAGCACTCGTTAATAGTCGTCCCTTAACGCATGTTTCCGAGGACTCTCGTTTTCCGGAAGCTTTAACGCCAAATCATTTTCTCATTGGCACTTGGTTTGGTAAATATGATGACATGGATTTGAGTCTTCGGAAAAAGTGACGAATAGCACAAAGGTTAACGGATATGTTCTGGACTCGTTGGACTCGTGAATGTCCAACGTCGTGAAACCTACGTTATTGCCTCGTCAGAAATGGATTACCGAGGAAAGGTCTTTACAAGAGGGAGATAATGTCCTGATTGTTGAGCCTAACTTAAAACGAGGACAGTGGCGACACGGGGTAGTGAGTGCGGCTCACGCTGGTGATGATGGACGCATCAGGGTAGTGGACGTGCGTACACGCACCGGTATTCTGAAACGTCCAGCGACACGCGTCGCTCTTTTAACACCAACGGAATGTAGTGCTGAATAGTAATCAGCACTAAGGGGTCGGATTGTAGGCGACGCATTACTGAGTCTGTGCTTTAATTTAAATTAAGTAATAATAGTTATGAAAAGAAAATATAAATAATTATCTGGTAAAATCTTCTAAAAATCATTAAAAACAATGTATCTTATTAAAGTTTCGTGTACTACTAACGCCATCTGTTGACCTAGAGGACAACTATATTAACTTTTTTATTGAAGGGTTTTTGAATATTTTTGTAAATTTATTTGGTGGTAATTAAAGACAACGCTTTTTTCTGTCGTTACTTAAGGTAAACGCTGTGTTTTATTTTCTATCCTTTATACATGTGCTTGAATAGTTTAATCCAAGCAAATAAATTTGATTAAAAGACTGTTTGTATCGGCCCAGCAGTGCCAAGTTATCAAACCTTAAAGAGGTGTCCGGGTACGGACAGCACGTTCCTGTTTTACGCGTAATCGGGATACTGTCTGCGCATACAGCTCCTGTACGGCATGGCGCGAACCCAAAATCAATCGATCCATAGAACTAAGCGAGTCAAAATATAGCGTACCTGGGCGTGCGCGTCTCCATTAACGCACGACAAAATTCTGACTGATAGCGGTTCGCCGGCAAGCCAGCCAGCTCTCGCGGCACACTTTTTCCAAGAGTACGCGTGCTACCAGTATTATGCTGCCTGTCCACTGGAGCGGAGCAGAGAAATATTTACAAATAGGATTTCACAATATCTGTCCACTGAAGAGGAGCGGAAATTTTGTGCAATTTTATTGGTTAATATTTCTCCGCTCCGGCAGCCTTATGGATTCCGGATTCCAAGGCACGCGTATACCAATGTACCAAGGACTTTATATAAACTCCTCGCAGTGTACGCGCTGTAAGGAGCTTTAAGGTCCCAACTCGAACGTCGGGTTTGCCAAGCAGCTTATAATATATATATATATATATATACCCACGAAAGGACAGAGTTAAGACAAGTTTTTACGTCCTTCTCTAAGCTGCATATATCTTTGCTTTTTATAATAAGTGTGGTGTCATCCGCAAAGAGAATACAGTTGTTACATAAAGCATCGGGAAGATCGTTTATATAAAGCATACACAATAATGGTCCCAGTATACTTCCTTATTGTATTCCTATATCAATGTTAGAGTATTGAGCCCTATAAGTATCTGAGTAATGTTTTGATATTTTTAGATATTTCGACACATTGCTTTCGATTTCTCAAAAAGGCTGATAGGCAGTCATAACTATTTCCTCGAATGCCGTAACGGTATACCGTATAAAATAAAACAAGCTATAGCTTGTTTAACAGAATGTCATGTTTAACCAGATCAAAAAATTCGCTCTTATCAAGAATTAAGAGCCGGTACTGTGGACTTTTCATCTAAACTTGATGATTTTTGACACCAACGTAAATCCTGCAAGCAAAGTAGAACTTCCCTTTCTAAAACCATACTGTTCTTTAAGCATTTTTTTATGGTTAATAAAGTTATATATTTTTGATGACTGGATGCAATGTGATTGGTCGGTTATTATTCATATCTTGCTTGTTCCCTTTTTTACAATACGTGGGTAACACTGAAAATGTTTAGAGCTGGCCAGTTAGATACATTGCTAATGAAAAATTTTTTGAATTTCAATTTAATAACTCTTTGGTAACCTAATGAAGTATATTGCATTCATTTGATATCAATAATATCAATGATGATCCGCGTGAGGGACGTCCTTTAACAGCGACTACTGAAAATAACATCAGTGCTGTGGGACGCATGATAGAGGAAGATAAGAGAGTGACCTATCAGCAGATACGGGCAAGCCTAAGCATTGGTATGAGTAAGTTCAAAAAATATTACACGAACTTTTAGGCGTCAGGAAGCTTTGTACCAGATGGATACCCCATACTTTAACCGACGACCAGAAACACGTTCGCATGGACTGTTGTCGCCAAATGTTAGATAATCATCACATTGACATCGTCACAGGTGATGAAAGCTGGATATATTGCTATGAACTCGAAACCAAAAGACAATCAGCCCAATGGTATTTCCTTTCGAGGATCGGTCAACTAAGTTAAAGAAAGGAAGAAGTCAAGGAAAAAAGAATGATTGCCTCATTCTTTGATCGGAAATGTCATTTCGCTACAGTTGTGCTAGAAGATGGAAGGACAGTTACTGCAAACTGGTTTGCCTGTTGTTTTGGAAAAAATTCGACAGCAGCGCCCTCGAAGCAGGATATCCTTCACCACGACAATGCTTCAGCGCATTCCGCAAAACGGACTGTTGAATATTTGACTATGCCAGGTGTCGAGATAATGAGTCATCCGCCATACAATCCTGACCTGGCGCCCTGCGACTTTCATTTATTCTCAAGAACTATAGATAAAATTCGAGGTATTCGCTTTACGAGCCCTGAAGATGCTGTGAAAGCGTACGAAAATGCCATAGAAGAGACCGCTAAGGAAGAATGGGCCCACTGCTTTTCTCCATGGTTCCATCGAATGCGACAATGTGTAGAGAGGAACGGAGATTAATTCGAAAAACAAAAAAGTATTGGCAACTTTCTACATTAAGTCCTTTTTAATTTTCTAAATATTTTCAGTGTTACCTAGGTATAAAGGTTTGACTACAGAATCTTTTAAGCGAATAGGAAATGTGCCTTCACTGATAGAGATTTACAATATGGCTGCAGTTCCATTAACTGATATAAATTGAGCACATTGTTTTAAAACTCTTTTATTTAAATTATCATATCCAGTAGAATTTTTATTTTTTAGAGATTTAACAATTTTTTGCCGTAGAGGATCTAGGCGATAAAAACATAGTTTACAAGTGTGTCACAATGTTTAAATTTACAAACCGGTGGATTGGCTTTAATAGCCGTTGCGCTAGATATAGAAATTCAAATGCGTTCTCAACTCGCAGGCAGCGCGCGCTCCACTCGGGAGCAGCGCATTTACAACCAGCATACGGCGAGCTTGCGAGCGGGGGGATCCGGTGATGTGGTACGGATTTGATGTAGTGAGCTTATGCTCATACAAAAATATCAACCGCACGAGTTGAGGCGGAACTGTTTGGGTGCTGGGTGGATCTGAAGCATGAGCTGTGACCTTTAGGATCAAAGAATGGAGCCTTCTTTTACAATCAATGGTACAAGAGGTCCGGTGGATGTCTTCGATGCTTTTAAAAGCGTACAAATACCGCTGCGGAATAGGATGTATGCATCAATTGTACTCTTTGCGCGCGAATTCCAGGGAATGCTCAAGAATTAACGCGCTTTGAGGGACGTTCAGCTACTGTTAATCTAGACTAGACGATTGTTTGAGACCGATCGACATTTCTCGCCGATGACACAAACGGCACCGACGCGACAGTAGCTTGCGCTAAGATTCCCCAAAGCATTATCTTGGCTCTTATTTACTTTGTATGTTATTCAAGTTAATAGTGCAATGCACAATTTTCTAGCATAAATTCGCTTCCATTCCATTCCGCGCAGGACTGTAGCTATAGTCGAATTTGAGGTATCATAATTGATCTGCCCTCGGAGCACGGGCTGCTAAATCAATATCCATGTATATCATTATCCTTAGATTATACATAGATGAGAAACTTTGGCCTTGCGGCATTGTTTTTAGGCGTTTTATGCATTATAAAGGTAAAGAATCGAACAGGCACGTAGCTGTTGACGGCTCCACTAGATATAAAAATGGATAGTCGACCATATATTTTCGCAAGCTTCAATTGCAAAAGTGTTAAGCGCTCAGTAGATAGTGTGCGAAAACTATGTAGGTCATGTGATCTAATAGCATTGCAGGAGACGTGGTTGCTGCCGGACGAAATACCATATTTGAGCACTATCGATAATCATTTTGGATTTGCGGGGATGTCTGCTGTTGACACTTCTACAGGCGTGCTTCGTGGAAGGCCGTATGGTGGTGTCGCACTGCTGTGGAGGAGCAGCGTGTTCCAACACGTATCGGTGTTATGGTGTGATAGTGCCCGTGTCTGTGCTATTAAAATAGTAACTAATGATCGTCCAGTGATAGTGATGAGTGTTTACATGCCGACGACACGGTAATAATATCATACAGTATTCTATCTTCATACAAACGGTCGGAAAGTGAGTCATACCTACGCCACTCGAGTTCGATGTACTCTCGGCGGGCACCCAGTCGCGAATGCGCCGCCGCGCCGCAACGACGACCGAACGGTCTGAATTGTTTTTTATGCAGTTAGCCGTGCTTAAACGTGCGTTTTGTATTGTAAATATTTGATTTAATTAAGTAGATACCTACATAATTTAGTATGGAAAAGAACAAACGACGATCAATATCATACAACAGCACAATTGCTGTTTTTGGTTGCTTGAACTCTTCAATAACACACCCATATCATTTTTTAAATTACCTGAAATATTGGAAAGGTGTCTTACCTTTATAGAATATTTTTTATTTACCTATATACTAGTACGTTATTTGTTTCTAATATTTAGGTATTTCGGTTTTTCCATCGGGAAAATATCTGGAATAATATATAAATAAGTGGTTAGGATGAAAAAAGAG